GAAGCAATCAGAGAATCAAATGGGAAACATTATCTTCGGTGGACACGAAAGCAAACAACATCGCACGACGGTTTGAACAGATCCCAGTGTTGACAATTGATGTTGAAACCGAGTGGCAGCTCTTTAAGAGCGGCATACTCGAGGCTGCCGCCGAACGCTGCGGATATAAACGGGTTGGCCTGCCGCCTGGAGGTCAGAAAAGATCTTCATGGTTGACACGAGAGGTTTAACTGGCAGTTAAAGAGAAGAAAGCAGCGTTCAAGAAATGGCTTGGAAGCAAGGAGCCATCCACTCGCGTACGATATGTGGAGGCACGCAAGGCGGCAGCCATAGCAGTGGCAAAAGCCAAAGCTGATTCCTGGGAGAAGTTCAGTGAGGTGTTGGGGCCGAATTTCCACACGGCAAACAAAGCATTCTGGCAGACCATCAGCCGGCTCCAAGGTGAAAAAGGGCAGTCTCAGAGTCTTGAAGGACAGATCTGGACACCCTCTTACCAAGGATCATGACATTCTTCGACGATGGATGGAGCACTTCGATGAAACTCTTAACCCCGCGCGGCCGCAGGAAAACTCGCCTGTAGAGCAGAAGAGTACCGATATTACTATCTATGTAGATGAAATTACACAAGCTGTGAAAAGCTTGAAAAATGAAAAGGCTGCTGGAATTGATGAAATGCGCCCTAAAATGCTCAAGGCAATAGACGAACAAGGCATATGCTGGCTTGGACGTGTCTGTCAAACTACGATGACTGCGGGAAAGACACCAGCGGACTGAACAGCGGGAGTTATTGTACCCTTATTCAAGAAGGGAGACCACAAGGAATGCTCCATTATAGAGGCATTACGTTATTGAGCCTCCCAGGTAAAGTCTACGCGAAGGTGCTAGAAACGAGGTGCCGCGGAATAACTAACTGCAAGATACAAGAACAGCAGTGTCGCTTCCAGCTCGGTCGAAGCACCTACAACCATATATTTGCCCTGCGCCAGACTGCTGAGAAATCGTGGGAGTACGCCCGTCCGGAGTGCATGTGTTTTGTTGATCTGAAAAAAGCGTATGACCGGATCCCACGCAACAGTCTGTGGACATGTCTCCGAGCATACGGGATAGATGGCGAGCTGCTGAGGGCCATCCAATCATTGTATTTTGATAGCAAGTGCTGCGTCAGAGTTAATGGCATTAAGTCGAAACCATTCAACGTTCACACTGGTCTCCACCAAGGCTGCGTCCTGTCCCCTATCCAGTTTGTGTTGTACATGGATAGAATAGTCAGGAGCTGCCAAGGTGATGAGGGTATCGGTATAGGAGATGTGAAGTCGAGAAGGTTGCCTTTTGCAGACAACCTTGTTTTATTAACATCTTCTGAAAGTGATCTCCAGTGCTCCCTAGAAAGGTTCGTAACCGAGTGCGACGTGACCGGCATGTGTGTGAACGCATCTAGAACGAAAAGCCTAGTGCTTTCTCGTTCTCCTGCCCGTTGCTCTCTTCAGATTAA